CATATAAACAACTTGGTTTAGTGGAACCATTTCATGTTACTTGGTTAAATTAATTCAACATTTCATTTCTTACAGTGTAAACTCAAACGTCTTGCTTTAATCTTCATCTCAGCTTCATTTGTTGACTGCATCACTGTTTTTAAAACTAAGTGCTGGAGCCAAGACCCGCAGTTTATCCTTGAAGTGCCAGCTCCTGTTCACAGCAACAATGAAACCACCCACATCCATGAGATCTGCATCCTGAGGGTCTCACTCCCAGTGCAGCTCTCTGGATCTGAGCTCAACATGTGGGTACTTCTGCGTCTGCAGCCAGCAGAAATGTGTTGTTACCAGGGCACAACTCTTGTCTAAATTTGATTTTTCATGTCATAGTTTCAAAACAATCTCAATGCTTGAGTGAAATCCCCGGTTTTCCATCCTGCCGGCTGAGCTACAAATACATTAACAGCTCTGTAGGATGAAAAGACTTCAAAAAGTAGGAAAAATACAGAGCTGAAAAAAGTTAATGAAAAACTTTTTATTCCTCATACCTAAATATTTTAAATGAGCAAATTTCAAGGACAAGATGAATAAACACAAAAGTTTTTTTTAATGATGATGCCATCAAAATTGAAGATGAGCCATCCATACTCCAAAAAAGTACCTCTTCATTGTTTAATCAGAACTTTATTGTGTTAAACTGCAATTTTAAATTTTTTTTAAACTGAGCTGAGTTTCATGAGCGACATCCTGGCTAGGTTACCATCAGACATGTACAATTAGAAAATCACTTCAGTACAATCTGTCTGACAACATAAAATAGGCTCAAAGACACATCATGCCTGTTTCAGAAGAACCGGCATCCATGGAAGAACTCCAAACTCCATCACTGGTTACTAAAATGAACACAAACTGTCATCACTGTATAAAACATTTTAATGATCTGACTTTTGAGGGACTTTTGTGTGGACTGATGAGGTAAAAGGACATTTTTGGAAGGTGGTGGTTACATTTTTAGTTACATTTCAGATAAAGAATAGTCAAACACGACGGTGGCAGTGTGATGGTGCAAAGCTGATTTGCTGCTGCTGTTGCATGTAACAACTGATGGAACAATTAATTCTGCTCTCCATCTGAACACCCTGAGGGAGAAAGTCTGACCTTTGACGTTAAACAACCCTCAAATGTTGAAGAATGGGATTCATTTTCTCCAAAGCACTGCACGAAACTTACCAGTTATCACAAACACTTTATTACTTTACAAAAACCTACTAAATGAAAATGAATTTTCACTTGTGACAAGGCTGGTTTGCATTTCCATCCATCCATTTTTATCCGCTTATTCGGGGTCCGTTGCAGGGGCAGAAACTCAAGCAGAGAGGCCCAGACTTCCCTTTCCCCAGCCACATGGACCAGCTCGTCCGGGGTAATTCCAAGGCATTCCCTGGCCAACCGAGAAACATATTCTCCAACGTATCCTGGGTCTTCTATTGGGTCTCCTACCGGATGAAAACCTCACCAGGGAGGCATCCAGGAGGCATCCTAACCCGAGCCACCTCAACTGGCTCCTCTCGATGTGGAAGAGCAGCAGATCTACTCTGAGCCCCTCCCGGATGACCGAGCTTCTCACCCTATCTCTAAGGGAGAGCCCAGCCACCTTGTGGAGATGATTCATTTCTGCTGCTCGTATCTGTGATCTCATTCTTTCAGTCGTGACCATAGATGGGGGTAGGATTTATAAAATAACGTCATCATTCGAAACTGCATTTTGTGTTTATTCAGGTTTGCTTTCTTTGTTGTTTTTCTGGTTACAAGGATTTCAAACTAGTAGAAATCTATAATTTTTCGAATTTGCTTTTACATTACATTATATTAAATATGTTGCAGCTGTCAAAACAGTGGTGGCAACTGTACAAAGTTCTGCAAAACACCTGCTCTTGAACTTCAGAGAATCTGCCCTTTCATTTGCACCTTCAGTGAAAAGAGGCTCCCTGAGTAATAAATGCTTCACGCAGAGAACGGGAGATGCACCCCCGGAGTGAGATCTCACTAAGCAGACAGGCGGACAGATGGGCCAGAAAACAACTCTACAACTCATACATGAACCAGACAGGTGTAGGTAATCCAGAACAGGTAGCATTTCTGCTCAGAACACAAGCCACATGTACCCAAATCACCCATTTCAAACTAAATTATAACTGTGACCTGGAGTTATCTTCAGTTTCAGTTTTTCACAAAGCGATACTTGCAAAACTTTTTATGTTAACAGTCTTGAGAAAAGAACAGACTTGCTTCAAGAAAATGAAAATCGCAGCCTTAATTCACGGAATAGTGAAACTATTGGGCAAGAGGATGTTCTGCCAAATGTGCTTATGTAACATTAATAGAACAGTTGATTTACTTTATGAGAAGAAAGTTAATCTCCAGTTGTGACACTGATGTTGAAATACTTGGATATGCTGTGATTTTTGTCTAATGACATGTTGCAGGTTGTCTCCCATTTACAACTTTCATGGGTGTTTAGGAGAAATCACTTCCATTTGTGTGTGTGTGTGTGTGTGTGTGTGTGTGTGTGTGTGTGTGTGTGTGTGTGTGTGTGTGTGTGTGTGTGTGTGTGTGTGTGTGTGTTATAGCTCTTGAGGAAAAGTGACTTTAAAAGGTGATTTATTTTTCTATCCTGTGTGAGAACCTTGACAGGAACACTTTGATCTGCGACGTTCTTGTCTTAAATTTCAACTCAAGCTGAGACAATTTTACTGAATGTGTTGGCTTTTGCTCCGATGCACTTTGGTTGTTCTAATGCACTTGCACTCACACACACTCACGTTTTTTTCGGCCTGTGAGATAAGTCAATATGTCCTTTCAGTCGTCTACTGATTTTCTCCTGATTACATCTCCTGTTGTCTCTCTCGTTTCTATGGATTCACTTATCACAGGCACTTGAGATCCTAAACGTAGACTCTGCAGACATAAAACAAATCATAATTATACTAAAATCAGTCAATGCATTTTGTTTATTGCAACATACTTAATGTTTAATTAAAGAACCACAAGTATAAAACACTTTTCTTCTTTCGATTGCATTTTTATGATAGTGTGCTGCCAGCTTGATATACACATTCCCACCAATGTTTGATCAATTGGTAATTCTTGAATAACTGAAAAAAAAAATAGAATATACAAAAACAACCACTTCTTCACATTATTCTTGTTGCTCTGAGATTCAGACAGAAATGTAGCAAAGCACATCCTGCGTCTGGGTAAACATAAGCCTTTTGTGATCCTCCGAATGAGCCGTTTCAGATTGTATTTACGTTGTGGAATTCCATTTAGTCTGGTTGTGTGTGTGTTTGGCTCAAAAAGTTTTGAAAAAAATTGCAAAAAATGTAATACAAGTAGTAAGTGCTTCAGGATTTAAGGAATACACACCTAAACTGTCCCCGTATACAAAGGAAGATGAAAGGCAAATGTATGACGCTTGAGTAACATCTGCATCCTGTTTAATGCACCAATAATGTCCTAAACGGTGAGGACACACACACACACACACACACACACACACACACACACACACACACACACACACACACACACACACACACACACACACACACCAGAACAGAATGGAAACTGCATACTTTATTTGGGTATTTTTTGCATAATTATGCTTGTTTCCAAAACACATTCTGGAAGGTGTCAGTTTGCTTTTACGTCACCAATTTTATTTTTATTTGTTGGAACTGTAACACACTCATGAGTTCTTAGTCACTGCCGCAAAGCTTTTGTCAGACGTGCTGGAGCGTGAAGCGGAGGTAAGGATCCAAACACGGGTGAAGAAGGCAGGCAGACAGGAACGGTTGAAGGCTTTAATATATAACATGCTGACACAGAAACAATGATCCAACACGAGACACAGAAGGGGTTTAAATCCAGGAGGGCTGGGACCTTGGGTGATTGGGAAACGAGAGGCAGGTGGGAGCAATTAACGGAGACACAGGACTGAACCAAAAGGGGAGACAGGACAAGGTGTGACAGTTTTAAAGATGTGAAACACTCATTTAATCAATACCTTCGCCATTGTCTCTAGTAGGAATATTTGCCTTTTAAGTCATACTCAGTGGAAAAATGCTCACAAGCGCCTGTTTCAGCACAGAAAAGTCAGCTAGAGGAGAAAGAAGCTTCAGACGGAAGGATTTGGAGTCTTATTTCCTGTTATTTGGACATCTCACCTCTGATTGGCTAACAGAAGTGCAACTCTATCAGTGACTCTGTTTGCTTTGTGACGTTGATGTTTTATCTCCACAAATAACTCAAGCCTGATGGAGTTCTGCTGTGTGGTGGAGCTGCTAATGCTAATGGTTAGCTTCTACCAGCCGAGATGTTCTTTGCTGTTTTCTGGATGCTAAACCAACAATAGCCTTCCCCGTCACGAGTCAAGATGGGTGAGTCCATGAGTGTTACAGTGTGATGTAGATCTGTAAAGCTTTTCACATCCCAGCGTATCAGCATCTATTCACTATCAGAAGCTACTATTTTCATGTCCAGCCTGCCCGAAAAACCCAGAGTGACTGAAATGTTTTTTTAGTGTGCTACACCTTTTAGATTATTTAAATTGTTAACGTCACACACAAAATGAATTTAAACAAAGATATGTAAAAAAGATCTGCCCCCCCCCCCCAATAAGTAATTATCAGAGCAATTCATATCTTCAGGCTAATGCTGTGACCCGAATTTGATGCTTTCAGAGCCCGGAAGCTGCCCCACCAAAATAAAATAGTGTTGTAATTAATCCCATTATTCCATCCGTATAAGAGAAAAGCTGCTTGAACAATTTATGTAAGTTATTATTTTTCAGTTCGGTTCAGTTAATTTTATTTCAAACATATACATTACCAACATTTCATAAAATCATTCCATGCATTTTGTTTGAAAAGGAGTAGGGAGAAGTATTTTTAATAAAGATTCGAAGGCTTTTATTCTTTAAACAGGAAATTTGCCCATTCTCTTCGTGCAGCTTGACTCTCGTGCGTAATTTAACACCCTGCCAGCACCCCGTTTGTCACAGTTCCTCTGGACTTTACACAGAACAGGATCGAACCGCGGATCGAACCACGGAGATTGTTTTAACGCAAAATGGAAATGAAGCTGCTGGCACTGGTGGCTGCGTTGACAGTGATGATATACACACCTGGCTCTCAAGGTACAGTCAATGTTTATTATTATCCGAAACCTTCTGTTTTTTGTATAATGTGACAAGCATCAATTAAAAAGTGTCAGAGCCTTTTGTAAATTCATTAAAGATTAAGAAGACATGGAATTATTATTTTTTATCTCATGCACGTTTTTGCTCTTAGGACACTCACGGCAGGACTGAATAATGAAATTACGACAGTATTTCTTTGCATTTGTGCACATTGTGATGTGAAATAAACCTAAAGTTGACACGTCTAACAAATTCCACAAGTCGTTCTCTAATGTTTATTTTTGTGATTGAGGAGAGCGCTTTTTCCTGCGTGCGTAAAAGAGCCAAACTGCCGCACATGTGGCTCTCAGCAATCTTCCACGAGCGTATTTGTTCTGCTTTTTTGTTTTTCTTTAATTATGCGCTAGTGGGGCAGTCTGCAAGGCGTCACTGGTCGCCAAACCGAAGCGTGTTTCTTTTTATCATGGTAATACCAAAACCAGGTGTTAAACCCAATTTGCATTTGGGTTTAATCTGCAGCGGCGCGTCTCAACATCAGAGACCCCCTGTTAAAAAGGAGATGATAACATCAGATGCATAACGCTTTTCCTTTAAAATCTCCCCTATGTAATTCAAACAGTCCCATTTATTAAAAAGAAAATAAAGACTTTTTTTATTGACCCACTTTAATTATCCATGAACATTCCTGTTTCTAAACCCAAAAGCTGTAGAGGAAAGAATGCACTTTCATCATGAAGGACCACACAGTTGTTCCTGAATAGAGATTGGATCCGCATGTCCTGATGTGATCTGTAGGAAATCAGATATCCAGATATCAAACTCAACATTTCAATCAGTGTTGGTCACGATGCAAATGTCAAGACTCTACAGGAAAAGACTAATGAGCTATGAAGGGGCTGCAAATCCAACCAGAACATAGCAGAGCTGTTGATTTTACAGCTGATTAGTCCTGTATTCATGTTCAAACCCGTCTGTTGGGCAAAGGGGAAATTGTTTAACCTATTTATTTGTTTAGTGGATGGCCTTAATGTTTAAACCTTTTGTCTCCAACAGAAGAGTTCAAAACTTTGAAGTTTCCTCATCAGATAATCTGATTAATCTGATTCCATCTAGCTGTGAACGGCTTTTCCTGTGGATTATTTGATGTAACTGAGTTCCATCTCTTTTTTGACTCTGCAGCAAAGCCCATCAGTCTGGTTGAGCGCTGCTACTGTCGTTCAACCGTAAACAGCCTCCCACGAGGATACATCCGTGAGCTCAGGTTCATCCATTCACCAAACTGCCCCTTCCAAGTGATGTAAGTGTTGTCTTCAGGCTGTTTTCTATCTTTGACACCTCAGACAGTTTTTCCTCATCTCTGAGCATTTCTCACCATCAATCTCTGAGAAGTGACATGTGAGAGAAAAGGGTAACACATGCATATGTGCACACGCACACCCCTCTGTCAATCGCCCTCACAAACGTAGGAGGCAAGAGCTTTATCTAACAGGAAATGCTCTTTTTGAGTGAATGTGAGAAGGCTGGAGTAGGAAAACTACAATCTTGGGTTTTGTAATTCTGATTTTGAGGATACACTGCAAAAAGGGATTTGTAAGAAAGACATTTTTATAGACACTGTCGTGTTATTAGTCTAAAACAAATCTTTCGAAAAATAGAATTTATTCAAATAAGGTAAATATTCTTGAATGTGATCCAAATCTTCTTGTTTTGAATAAAAAATCAGTCCTTCGGGTTAACAAAATTTGCTCGGCTAGAATTCGTAAAATTTGCAAAATAATCAAAAATTTTCATTTATTTGCTAGTTTTAAGATTTCTAGTCAAGCAACTTTTGCTTAGCCCAATGACAGATTTGTTTTAACTCTAAACAAGAACATTTAGATCATATTCAAGAATATTTACCTTATTTTACACAATGCTATTTTTCTAGAGAAGATTTGTTTTCTTTTTAGACTAAAAGTAAGAAAAAAACTGTCTGAAAACTCCTTTTTAGTTTCCTTAGAAATCAGCTTTTGCAGTGACAGCACCAGCATCAACACCATAAACGTGGAGATGCAGCTCAGGGCAAGTTAAATGTTTGATGTGTTTTATTTAGCTACAAATCAAAAACATTTTAGCCTAAAAACTTACTTTTGAGCAGTTTTCCTCCAAAAGAACTGCATGGAAACCTGCAGAAGCGTCACAGGCTCCATTCCATTCAAAGGCTTTTTATGCACGTGTCAAACAAACAAGACAGAGTAATTTCAGCCTGTTTAAGCGGAGCGTTAGAATCCCCACCTAAACCGATTCACCCTTTTATCTTTGTCTAATTTGTTTTTCTTTCCTTAAATCATTTCCTTTTTTCTAAAACAGCGCCAAGCTGAAGACAAACAAAGAGGTGTGTTTGAACCCTGAGATCCGATGGCTTCAGCAGTACCTGAAGAACGCCATCAACAAGTGAGAACACACAATACAACACACATCTCCATGAGTTAGTTACAGTGCCCTAAAAATCAGTTTTGCTCTGCAGAAATTTAAAATAAAAAATGCATTTTTCAGTAGATGTTTTTTGTTGAAGAGTCCTGAATTGCTCAATTTAAGCTGGAGCTTCGACCTGAAACATGCAGCTACATGACTTGGTGGGAGTGAAAACTAATTCCACTTTAACACAAAACCTGTGGGCTTGATGTGGGACAATACATCAACGTTTAAAACCACATTTAATCTGCTTAAACACTCCTGTGGGTTCATTCCTGTTCAGCACTGTTCATACGAGAAGTACATCTGCTTAGGCGTTCAAATAACATTTACACTATTCACGTCCTGCAGGGAGACCTTGGCACAGAGTGAAAAGATTTAACTTAACAGAACAATATGAATCAAAAACTATGTTTTTATAATGTTAAAAGCATCTGACCCTCTATGTTCCTGTTAAGGATTGTGTAAGAGGCTGTTTAACAAAAAGTATTGCATAAGAAAGTTTACATGGTACATTGATCGTGTGGTAGGTAAATATAAACTTTGTTTTAATTCAGTTGCAGCCATATTTTCCTCAGAAACCCACTGATGTGTCTTTAGTCCTGGAGTCTGTCTCAAATATATTTTTAAGTATTTTAATTTACTTTTGTCTTATTTAGTTTTATTATGGGCAACATTTGTTTACGAAAGCCACGTTTTTACTATAGGAGTTCTGGGAAACTTCTGGGAGGGATGAAGGTGACCGGGAGATTCAATGGCTCGGTTCTCTCACCTGTTGTGTCTCAATCCAATATGGGCTCTTTCAGGACTTCGCTACGACGCTTTAATACCATGACTGCTTCTGCAGTGAGTCAGTACGTTTATAATCGCATCGGAAAACCGAACTGTTGCCCTAAATACGTCATTTATTAATAATGCATGTAAATACGTTAGTCTTGCTGAGGGCGAACTGGTTCTAGTGCTGAAACTCCCAGATAACGCTTCATCTGCATGTAAACGGCAGTTGTGCTGAAACCAACAACTTCCGAAAGTGACTTAATCGTGGAAGCGGTGACACCAAACAGTGCAATACGTACCAATCAGGCCGTGCTGCAGCGTTGCTGTTGTCCTTTCGACCATTGTGCGTATCGTGTTTTAACTCAAATAGCTTCACTCCTGCTAGTGTTTGAATTGAATTGTCTCTGTGTATGAAATGTGCTATTTAAATATAGCTACCTTGCCTTGCCTTTCTATTTGTGTTGCTATAAGCTAACCGGAAGAATGCCGACATGAAAGGGTGCATGTCGCCACCTGCTGTACCTGAGTAGAACTAGCTTTGTTTGAGAGGGCGGTTTTCAAACATACATGTAAGCTAGAACAAAGGCTCCCAGATCGACCTTGTCATGTTGTGGTGTAAATATCTAACCCACGACATACAGAATCAACACGGAGACTTGGGTAAAAGGTTTAAATAATAATTTATTAAAAGGGTAACCAATGGAGCAGCATAAACGTAGCTGAGATCTTCAAACAGGAATCCGGTGCGGGGATCTGTGGACAGATAGGAGTTAGATCCAACTCGAGGGTGGGAACAGGGAATCAGAATTATGTGGAGGGCTTACAGTCTGGAGAGAGGGAATCGCTTGAAGGGGGAGTGGTCCGGTCTGGGTTGAAGGGGTTATCCTGAGGCTGAGATCCAGAGAGTGAGACGTGGAGGGAGCTGAGCTTGAAGACGTTTAAATCCAGGAGGGCATAGGTGGTCTACCGGAGGTGGTTCTGGCCCAGGAGAGACTGAGGGGATGAGCGGGGTTGGAGTTCCAGAATGCTACCAGTCTGAGATGAGGGTGGAGGTTTGTCTGGGAACAAGAGCAGGAAGGTAAAAATGCTAAAATCCAATATTCAAAAACACATCAAAATGTCAAAAGGTCTAAGAGCTCGAATCTAATACGCGAAGTGGCTGTTAGAAGGTACCCAGGCAGAGTAATCATCCAGCGAAGTGAAGGGGTCTCTCAGCTGCTGCCTCCCTGGCCGGCTGAAGAGCAGATAGTCTGCAGCTTGGCCACCTCCGGACACACCCACCTGCAGAAGGAAACTCAAAACCAAAGAGTGATGGCAGAAACAACCCAGGCCGTGACAGACCTAGATCGACCTAGATGTGTATGTAAACACACTGAGTGATGTCACTGATCAGGCGTACACGGACATTAATAACATTGAACATTGTATTTTGTGAATGTACATCATAAGTTGATCCATTCGCGAGACCAGGAGAGCGGCTGTGACATAAAAAGTACCACCTCTGTTCTAAAAGTACCACAAAGTGACGTTCTGGAAGGATTTCTGCCACGTTTGATGGTGTTGGAGTTTAGAAATGGTGATTTTAAAGCAGCAGACATATTTTCCTGCCATTCTGCTTCAACAGCAACTCCTCTAAGTTTGCAAATGGTGTTTGTTTGGAGGTGTCAGCTGATGTCATTTCCTGCTGAGTTACAACCAATCAGCAGGAGTTAACCACAAGTCCCGCTCTGCAACTCTTCCGGGGATTTCTGAGTACACACCTGTACTCTGTTGGTTCCTGAAATGGCTCGAAAAATTGTCCTTTCAGGCCGACCCGATGAAATAGAGACACGCATGTTCTAAAGGTCCAGTAAAATTACCCAGAAGTTCATATTGGGGAAACGAGTCAAATAATCCAGAAACACCCAAAAAGGAAGTCTAGCATTTTATTTTTACAGTGTGTAAAAAATAAACATAGTTGTAACTCAGCTATTATTCTTGTTTACAGCAACAAACAAAAGTTAGTTTTTTTTAAATCCTTTCTATAAGCATGCAAGAACATTGTTTGAGTGTGAATAAACAGCCCACCCATGTTAAGGTGTTTGTGATGTTGCGCAGCTTCACTCAGCAAATGAATGCTCTGCATGAGTGTGTTGTTAAACCAGCAACGCATCAAAACTAGGTGCCAAATTACAATGAGATTTACTAGGTTAAAGGTTCAGTTCCTGATTATGGGTTCAAAACATTTTGGTCCTGCAAATCTGTTGCAGCTGTTTTATATTTGACAACCTTAGTTTTGCTTCTCATTCATTTTGAAAATGATGTTTAGTTAGCATTCAGTTGTCCAGATCCACATTTTTCTAAAGTCATTCTAAGTTCAGCTCTCTGTTTTCACGATGCCAACAATTTTGTCTTGATTTTTTGTTTGCTGTTCTTATTTTACATCTGCTTTCTCTTTCTAGGATGAAGAAATCCAAGCAGGGCATCTGAAAAGCTTTGATGGATCCTCCCGAGCCGACTCAGAGGATGTAGCCTGCCGTCACAGAGAGGCATCACAAAGTCATCCGATACGGTGAACAGCATTTATCCCAGCTGCAGCGTGTCGTGGAAGGAACACCAGTTCAACCGTTCGCTGTCATTGTCTCCCGCCACTTTTTACAAATATTGTTTTTGTGCCATTGCATCTGTGAGTGTATTGTATATAAGCTTTGCTTTGTAAAAAGGAAAGAGGTATTTTTGGAGATATAATCACTCTGCCTTTGTGCATTTTAATTAAAAAAGATATAAACCAGGGCAAAAGTGTTTATAAAAAGAAGGGATTCATGTTCACAATGAACATAACTCTTGAGCAGTTTTGTTCAGCCAGGAAATTATGATTTTAATGGTGGATCTGCTCTACAGGAAAGTTTATGCTTTCAAATTGGATCTAAAACAAACAAAGTTTCTTTCTCCAGAAAATTGGTGAAAGTGAAATTGCCCCAAGATGTGCTCAAGATCCAAATAAAAATGACATTTACAACGCTTTTGTGAAAGAAAACCGGGATGCCAAAAGAGTGTTTCCTGAGCCGTGTTGTGGCTCTGCGTTGTGCTTTTGCAACTCTGATTCACCCCAGTGTGCTTTTTTCCTGTCTTCTTTATTTTAAACGGAACATCTGGTTCCCAAAAAGTTTTAATTAAGCAGCCAATGAGCAAAAATTTACTGCAATCCTAAAGTTGAGGGGAAAACAGATCTAGTCAGAGTTGGCAGCGCTGGTATCTGTGTGGGTTGTGTGAACGCACGCAACTAGAACACTTGCACATCCGTTTTTTATTACACACGTAAAACTGATAGCTGCTGAAAAAGACTGAGAACTAATAAATAAGCAGACGTGACTCCCCCCTACAACTGCAATGCCCATTTCAAAGCTTTTAAAGTGGTAAATGCCCTGTACTTGTATAGCGCATTATATGTGATCTACTTGCGTCTTAACATCCATTTAATTTCCATCTCTGGTCATTAATGTTTGTCTTTTGTCATGTTTTTAATGTTTATCATATTTCTGTTTTGCTTTTTTGATCACTGAATGTGTAATGGCATTTATTGTTTTATATCTAATGGATCTTTACATGTATTCATTTAAATATCTGTCATATGTAAAAGTATGTTACACAAAAGTTTATTTTTGTACTCATTCACATGTATTTGTTACATTTAAATGAAGGAATTGTACTGTTAGCCATCCACTTTTCTTTTATTGTGAAACCTTTTTACTGCTGATGAGTTAAAAAAGAGGGTATTTTTCTTAAACATGGACACCTTTCTCCTACATAACCAGATTTTTACCCACTGATGCACACAAACAAACAACAAACAAACAAACCATTTTTTGTGACTTTTATATTCGGTGTAAATCCAGATTTAACTAATGCAGCTGTTCTTAATGCACCAGAAGGTCAGAGGGTAAATGTTTGTCTTTCATGTGAGAACATGTGTTTGGCTTTACTCACAAGGGCAAAATTAAAGGCAAGGACAATGATCCTGTTTGCTATTTAACTATTAACTCAACAAGCAGCCATTAGGAAAACATTAGTGCTAAAAGGGATGAACTTTTAACTTTCCTCCAAGGGCATTACGTGAAACTGATGTGCAGCAGAGATGTGAGCGGTGCGAAACATCAAGAAACGATCAAGAAGATTCTGAGCGGTGGCCATGTTTGGAAGTGATTAGCCACACCCGGTAGCTTTGTAACAGGAATGGAAAATAATTAGATTTAATCACTGGATTAAAAAGCTGTTAAACCAATCATACGACAGGACTTTGCAGGTTGAAGCAGTAATGTGAAGATTAGGCAGCTTAGAACACTAATTAGCGATATAAAGATATTTGTTAAATGAGAATATATCAATTAAACATTTAAAAACAAAAAAAATGTCATTTGTCTTTCATCACCTTGTCTTGGTTTCTTATTTATGACCATGTTAGTGCAGACTAATCCACGCGGGCTGCTCAGCAAAACAAACAAAAGTGAAAAATCGTCTTAACACAATGCAGTTGTTGGTAATACAGAATGGCTCATTGTTTTCCTGCCGACAGGGCCAACACCCACCAGTTAAACTATGCAGGTGTGACTGGTGCATGAAGCTTCAGGATTTCTAAATCATACTTTTGTGCTTCTTTCAAAAGGAAAATGACAGTAAACCATTAGGATATCAGTTAAAGCTAACACAGTTAGCTCATTTAAGCTAAAGTTGCAGCATGTGGAAACAAATAGAAGTTTCTGCAACTACCTGTTAAGTGAGTTCATGGAAATGAACTGAGAAGTATCAAAATGCTACTTCTTCTGCACATCAAGTTTACTGAAGTGGAAGAGGACATCTTGATGGTGTGAATATTTGGCAGTTCAGCTTCAGTGACCCTCCTATACCAGGTTTGTACTTGAAGCTAAGTGGGCACTGATCCTAAAAAAACATGGTACAGATCCGAACGCCTAGGCAGTTTCAAATATTCATCCCTAAACGTCTGAGTGAAGCCATTATGAAGAAATAATTTAATATAATTTGCTTATGAGTGTGAGAAACAAGGGAATTTTGGGCCTCCCTTGAGGTGGATCAAGGATACAACTAAACAGTAACTTTACCAAATAAAGTATGTGCTAGGCTTTTATTTTGTTAAAATAAAAGCCTTGCACATACTTATTTATACAAAGCATTGTTGCATAGCTGTCTACTACAGAACAACAGCAAAAAAAGCTCTAAACTTTGATCCTTTGGTCAAGATCGTGAATACAAGTGACCAAAATCCTTCGCAGGGTGTTTCAGAGAGATAGGGCGAGGAGCTCAAACATCTAGGAAAGACTAGGGATGGAGTCCCTGCTCCTCCAGCTGATGCCGTTCAGGCATTTGGACAGAATCCGTCCTGGACAACTCCTCGGAGAGGAGTTTTGGGTATGTCCTGCCAGCGGGTTGCCCCCAGGTCAAGTAATTCTTTTGATGATAGTTAGCATTAAACTCACCCACAGACCCCCGGGGAAACTACTCGTTCTGTGTGCTTGATGTGCACCAACTAAGGCTCTGAAGGAGAAACATCCCACAGAATCTGTTGTTGTTCAATTTAATCAGCTTTATTAGCATAAATTTGCATGTAAATATGCAGTCAACAAGCTTTTCCTACATAAGACTACGGCCTTTTGTTATGAGTGCATGCCTTTGGCGGGTGTGTTTTGGTTGCTTGTCATTTTCTTGAGATTCAACAAAACAGAATACATTGGTCAATCAAGCATTGTCTCACCAGTCCATGCTCACTTGTCCTTTTAAGTTGAACTACATACATTTGCGGTCTTGGCGTTTATGTCTGATTTCACTCAAAACTAGAAGATCGAGAACTTTGGCAGCAGTGGTATTACCAGAGGTCACGTCCCATAATAATATCCGGGCGGGTTTTGGTGACTGACAGAATTGTGAACATTTTCAAAACATTTTCAACAACAAAGAACCAGACAGACACTCATCACTTTGGTATTTGCCAATGGCAGAGAAACGTTCAAGACATGTGAAATTCATACTCGGCCTTGCCTTCAAGATTCTAAAGAGGTTTGGAGTTCAACCACAATGTGAGAGGAAAAACTGACACCTTGACAGATGAATACAGATTTGTCATGTGATGTGAAAAAAATGACAAAGAAATAAGGGACATGCAGAGTGTCTGTGTTCATTTAGCTCATGGTGCAGAGTCCCAGATTTCCTCCATGTTTAGCTGTAAGGGTTCCCAGATGCTCGGACATGAAGCTCAACTTATCAGTTATTCATCATGAATATAAAGCCTGAAAATATAAAATATCAGTGGGTCTGTGTGTGAGAGAAGCTAATGGGACGTCACAAAAGCCACTGAACATGAATCTCCTACATGTTTATGAGAAAAACAACACAAGACAGGTAACAATGAATTCCTGATGGTCAGAAACAACCTCCAATGAAAACAAAATCCAATGTGATGTTAAGATCTTTGAACTGGTTAGGGTTGTGCGTTGTATGAAAATAGCCCTTCTATATCTTTTACCACTGTTTTTAACCAAAAGCTTATTTTTAGACACAGTGCTGTTTTGCTGGGCTTGCAGACAAGATTTTCTGTTGCAATAAACATTTTTTAAGGAGTTTGGCTTTTACTTTTGCCCTCCCAATGGGAAGCTTGACTTCTTTGTTTCACCCCCATCTCAAATTAGCTCAGAGCACAAGGTCAGCTACCGAGGGGCAGATGCTTGGTTGTCATGTGGGATTGATCTTTACTTTTTTCCGGTAGAAAGTTTGTCTTCTTGAATTCTGTGACACGATGCTTTAGACTCTGAAACAAAACAATGTCACAAAAACATACAAAGGGTCAAGATGAAGGGGTGAGATTTCAGGTTCAACTATCTGAAGTTCATTTAAACGTAAATGGTGACTCTAGACCTCAATAGTTTAAAGGGGACATGTTATGACTTTATTAGTTTTAGGGTTGATAACAACACGCTCATGAAGTTGTTTGCAAAAAATCCCTCTCATAAAGCGATTACAGCAGTTTTATTCTGGACATTTTCAGTACCTTCCAGAATGAGCCGCTTCACCAGGGCTCTGTCACTTGAAGAAAACAAGCTGGAGCTGGCCACACTTAAAGTGAGAGTCAAGGCATGGGTGGAGATGTATTTCATCCACACTTCCTGTTGGGAAAACGCTTCTGAAAGAGGCGTCGCCTGGCCGGACCAAGAGAGTGACACTAAGACGTTGTTAGACCACACTCCCTCAACCCCCCCCCCCCCCCCCCCCCCCCCCCCGCATGCGCTGTCGGAGTTTCTCAATCTAAAAAACGAGTTGTTAAGGAGCACATGCACACAAAGCACACACTCACACAAGACTTACCACTCAGGAGAAAAGCAGACACAGATTCTGCAGCATTCTGGATGATTGCCTGCTAATCACAATCATTAGATGAAAAAGGGGAGGAGGGCGTTTTGTCAAGGAGGCAAGCGACTCCGAGCGCCAACATGTCATATCAGCAGGTGAGTGGCTGAGCCAGGTGGAGGTGCGGCTGCCTCACCTGGAGACCAGTGCAGTGTAGCCACGTAGTACTTTGCTGACAACGTCACGTTTTTCAACATAGCCATCAGCCACAGCTGGTTCTACATAACTGTGGGGCAGAGTTTTAACCTGAAAATGGAGATATAATTACGGTTTTGGGCTGAAATATTAAATTTAAAGTAAGTTGCACTAAACTGCTAACATTACACATGTCTGCAGCACCATTAGACACTCATCTATACAGGTTATCAGTAAAACAGTTAGTTTAGTCATTACTTGCTCTTTAACTGTCCCTGGTCAAGCTGCAGTAAGTTGAGACGCTCCTATATCTGGGAGGGACTCTGGCAATGTAAAACCGAATATCCTCCCCCGCATATGTAGGAATAAAACTCTGTTTTCAGCTAAAAAAAATCCAGTTAATTTGAAGCTCATTTATTGACTGCCAAGCCTGAAGGTGGTAGTAGCTCCCCTAATCTTCAGCATATTTGCCAAAAAACATTCCAAGAGTGTGGAATAACTACGTGGTGGTACATAATCATCCATAACATCATCCTTCACCTTTTGTGTTCTACATAGAGCAGTAATTGAACTTGTAAAAACAAGCAAGTGTGACACACATGAATGTGTTGCCACGTTTTGTTATGTATGTTGTTTTAATTTAGCTTGTTTAGTGCCATTTATGAAAGCCAAAGACTCAATAACTGCGTTTTAATGGATATGGTAAAAGTAGGTCATGATTGGTTGGTTAATATCAGTTACTGCCACTGGGGGCATTGTGTCCGTTTCGTCAGGTGTGGTCGGGAGACCTCTCCCCTCAGACTGGCTTGACAGACAGCAGGAAGCACACCACTTGTTGCCGATCTAATCATAATTGTGATCGTTACTACTTGAGTGATCTTTAACTGACTACCGACCAGGTGTTTGTTAATGTAACAACCTTTTGTGAGGTTTTATGGCCATTTAATGTATTGCGCTAAGAATGCTAGTATTTTAGCCATGTATGCTAAAGAAACTAACTACGTGTACAGAAGGTGTGCAGCGTTGCTGTTCTCGTCAGCTTACTGTTTAGCTCACCTGATGAATTTTTTATGTAGGCTTGTTAAAGTGTGTTCTCTGATTTTATTACATGGTAAAGTTAAACAAGTGTGCTAGAACCTGCTACAGCAGTCATTTTCTATGGGTTACTTGTGTCAAAGTTGAAACAAAGCCAGCATGTTAGGCATCTATTTATAATGTCTTAACATAACAAGAAAGTAGAATTGTTTTTTCCATTATTATGTTTATTTGTTCCTTCCAGGTCCATAATATTACATCATATTTGACATAAATG